TGGACATGAAGCTATGTAAGACTTAACATACCTCCTCATGCGTAGGAACCAGAAATAGCGTTGAATTCGTTGAATTGTCTTCTCTGTGCCATAATGTCCTATATCGTCGTGATTTGCCTTTGTTATACGCCAACGAATTGCCTGGGGTACATATATATATATATATTGTTGCCATCAGCCGTTTTACGTAGAAGTCTGCTTGCTTCGATGACATAATCTTCGTTGACTTGGCTCCATCGTGGGCTCTGCTCTTTGATCCTAAATGCGTCAAATATTTGAGCTAGCATCGGATCTTGCTTCTGCATTGCGTATACCCAATCCTCATCGATTGGCACAATCGCTAAGATGTTGTCTGCAACTGTCTGAGACTTCTCTTCATACTGTAATCCTGGATGTCTGCTCATACCATCCACGTGTGGCATGTCAACTCCTGGACGATGCTTGCTTGTAAAGTCAAACTCCTGTACTTTAAGCCACCATCTTGCAATCGGTGGTTGTAGCTCCTTCGAATCCTTGAGTGTCACCACTGCATTGCAATCTGTTACCACCAAAAAATTAGATCCCAGCAGATATACATGGAATCTATGCCTGTTCTTGGTCTTCTCCCCACATGAACTCCTCATCTTTTTCCAACAGCTTGCTTAACGGGCGATCATACTGTAATCCTTGACGAACTTGCGGAAGAATCCCGTGATGCCAAGGAATCTTCGTACCTCTGTTTCATTACCTGGCTGTTGATAGTCTTTGATGCACTCGGTCTTCTCGTTGCCAGGCTGGATTCCATCGCCTGTGATTACGTGTCCCAAGAACTTGACTTTTGTTTGCATGAATGCACATTTGGATGGTCGTAGCGTTAGACCAGCAGATCTAACAGCTTCCATAAATTCGTTCAGTATGAGCAGCCCTTCTTCCACAGTTTTTGAAGAAAATATGACTTCATCTACGTAGTTAATGATATTTCGTTGGTACTTCAATTGCCGTGTTGGCGCAGATGCTGTTTTAGATTAGGATAGTTTAAGAGAAATATTTGAATTTTAGTTTAGGGCGAAATGAGAGCGCGAGAGCGGCCGTTTGCGGACGTCGTCTCGCGCCCTTTTTTCGCCGCCTTAGGCTTAGTTTAGCATGTAAGCCGAATTTTGAAGTTAGTTGTAAAATAGAACTAAATAGAAGCACAATCGCCACCGCATCGTTTCGTCATTTTCTATATTAAAGTTAAAAGCAAGCGTCCCAATCTTTCTTCGTTTTCATTCAATTTATATAAAATCATATACATTTTCTTGCCGTATTATGTCTGTTATGACCTCCTGAAATACCATCGGCGCATTTACCAAACCAAATGGCATAACATTGAATTCGAATAATCCATTTGGTGTCATGAAGGTTGTAAACTTTTTGCTTTCGTCGCTCATCGGGATCTGATAATATCCTGACGTCATGTCTAGCTTTGTAAAGTAAACGTTTCCGGACAACTTGGCCAACTGCTCCTCTACAATGGGCATCGGGTACCGCTTCTTTATGGTGACTGCGTTGAGAGCTCGATAGTCAACACATAGTCTTTTTTCTCCGTTTGCCTGAAGTACCAATATTGCTGATGCTACATGCCCGTGTCAATAAACGCCTCAAACGTGTATCCTCCGATATGTACTGTTTTCATTATTGGTGGATACTCCTTGGATTGTGTCTCTTTTACTTGAGCCACCTTTGCTGGTTTCACATAACAATCCTTTTCTTCATGTCCAATCTTGGAACACTTGGAGCAACGTTTCTTTCGTTGGGGCTCTGGGCATTTTGCTGCAATATGCCCCAGATTATTGCAATTATAACATTTAATTGCCTTCGCCTTGCCATCAGTTTCGTCATGGTGCCTCCCGCTGTTAACAGTAGGTGCGTTGTGTTGGTGTTGTTGCATTCCTTGAGCCGATCTCATATTCTCCAGTGATCTGAAAAGCTCTGAACAAGTGCGTATGTTCATCGCTAGCAATGCCTTTGTTGTCTCTTGCTGGTTGAGTCCGTTGATAATATATGAATTTATCGATGGCTCATCGATATTCGCTCGACGCCCGATAGCTAACATCGCATAGAAATACTCGCTTAATGATTCTTTGCTACGCCGTTTGCGTCGCATCAATTCTCTATGGCCGTATTCGGCCGTATTCACCACATTTGGAAAATCCAACCTTAGGGCTATTTTGAATTGCTCCCAAGTTTGATATACCTGCTGTGAGTCAAGCCATGTTTTTGCCGCTCCGCGCATTTTATGCTGCACTGCAAAAAGCACCGTTTCGTTTGTCCACACATACACATTTTGAAGCTGTTCAACTTTCGCAATAAATTGCTCAGACGTTATAAACCCTTTTAATGGATCAAATTCCGGTAGTACGCCAATTACTTCTTTGATGCTTGTAAAGCCATGACCTTGAAGACTTGGTGACGTTCGTACATCTTCGTTTCGCAGCGGCTGTTCTACCTCAGTTGCATTGCCATTACCGTGCCGTTACCGTTTCCAAGCGCCCTTGTCTATGCGTGACCTGCGCTTGTTGTTATTGCTGCACACACACACCATCTGCTTTAATTCGTCGATTTGTTTCTGCATTGCTTCCAATGCCGGGTACTCATCTGTGTCAATTTCGTCTCCGCCTATGACTTGTATCAACTCGTTAATTTTCGCTGCCTTGTTTCCTTTGACTTGGATATTATGCTCTTGCAAAATAATATCCAAATCGCAAATTCGCAATTGATTTAGTGGCACTCGCATAGTTGGGTATTTTATTTGTTTCCTTTACGTTGAGACCGAAAATATACGCACGTCTGCACTCGTTGCCGTTTACTTTTCGACTCCCTTTATTAATTGTGATCTTTTTCTATCCTTGTTGCTGACTGTCTGTCTTCTTCATCGTTGCTGCCGTTCGGTGCAGCTTTTTTTCCTTTTTCTATTTCCTTGTTCTCCGTTCGTCGTTGCAAGAAACTCGACTCGTTGCTATGCCGTGCCGTGCGTCGATATTTTTTTCCCTTTCGATCGACCGTTTTGCTAATTCCTGCCGTTTCGTCGATCTTCCTCTTTGCTATCAACCGTTTAGCCAATTCGTGCCGTTTCGTTGATCTTTTCGCCCTCGTTCGTTGAGCTTCGTTACTATCGACCGTTTTGCTTTGCATTGCCGTTTTGCTTTACCGTGTCGTTTTGCTTTGCCGTGCCGTTTTGTCGACGTTATTATACATACATTTTATTAATTAAATATTCTCTCGTGTAGAGATGAACTCGTATCCCACTTCTGAACTGTCAGGTTCTTTAATTGTATGAATTTCTTCAGTTTATTAACATACAAGTTATTAATCAAACAATATATATATAATAACTTAAAATAAGAATAACTTCTGCTGTGCTCTTGTCCACGCACACGTCTGCTCTCTTCCACGACTCAAACGATACTCCCTCTCCTCATACTTGACAATTGATCCAGATTGGCCATAACACGTTCCACCAAATCCGAAAATTCTTCCCCCTTAAACTCCGGTTATTCCAAATCAACCAATAACCCATTATTTAAATCAACGGCGACAATCTCATCCTCATTAATCCTTGACAAGGCATCTGGGGCTACATTAAGCTTTCCCTTGCGGTGCTCAATTTTAAATTTTAAAACCTTGTAGTTTTAGTGCCCATCTTTCAGAACTTCCAGGTGGGACTCAAAGCTATCTGAAACAATGATCAAATCGCCCAAATACACAAAAACTTAATGCTGGTGGTATAACTTTATCCATCGGTCGCCTTAGCCTACAGAAATTTTTCCACGGCGGAAGAGACGGGAAAATGAATTTGTAGAATTACATTTTGTGCCATTGATAATTTATGCTGACTGCTATTTTATTTTAATTCAGACACTTGCAATTCAGGTGGCAAGAGATCATATATATTCCAAAAATCTATTCCTATATAGAGTTCGTGACACAGTGCCGGAATAATGTAAAATTCCGTGTCGCGCGTTTTGTTTTCATACTTAAATTGAGTCGTGATACGGCCCACAACTTGTTAGTGGCTACCACCTTCAGTGCACACATTAGATGATACACGCTTTATTGGAATCCTACTTTAAATAATTTCTTGAGCCAAGTGTCCTTCTATACAGCTTACTGCAGCACCGGTATCTAAAAGACCACACACTTCACGGTTTAATAATTTAATGAAAGCATAAGTTCTTTTGTCGCTTTTCTTTTTGCGAATCGCACCAATTGTTTTGATTGCGCGCCAATATGATTTAAGGCTATTATAGTAATAGACATAGGTCTGTACTGTGATAGTAATTTTTCGGTCTCTAAATTTTTACATAATGATTTAAATAAGTTCAGTGTAAAAAGTCGTTAATATTATTATCTTTGTCAACGTCAGCTAGTTTCTTGCCAACGTTATTTGTTAAAATGGGCTTATCTATTCGGTGTTCGTCGCCTGATTCAATTGAACACTCGTTTTACGTTTTTTTTTTTTGACATTTTGGGCAAGCAGACTTGTATGTATGTGTTTTTTGTGCCACAACCGTAGCAGAACATTTTTCGTTTGGCTACAGAATTTTCAGGATTATTCTCTTCGAACACCTCAGCTACGTTTCTTTTAAATGGACTTGATTTTTGATACCCATGCACACGTCTGACTTAGGACGTAGATTCGTATATTATTATGCAGTTATATCCCCTTTACGTGAGTTCGAATAGCAAAGGAGGTAAAATTTATAAACAACATTTTTGTACCCCACATACATACAGAGTATTTCAAAGTCAGTACACCTGACTTTAGATTCTCCACTTGTTTTTATTTATTCACCAGAAAATTAACAAATATCTAATTACTTATTTTGCACTTTATACGTGGATATGATTTGTAAACAACAATTTTTTAACATTTTCAGCAGATGTTACGGAATCAAGGCTCAAGCTTAAAAACTAACTTGACTATTATTTAAAAAACAGAGAAAGTACCTGATCAACGCCTGCGTAAAAAGACTGCCAAAATGACCCATATTCGATTCTGCCTTAGGATTTTTATCGCTACCATATTGATACTTATCGGCGGACTAAATAAAAGCGGATGTAGTTCTGCACTAAACACAGGTAAAGACGAAAATGCATATTATCAAAGCGGTAGTCTTATTTTGTCTTTATGGGTATTCCTGCATCGTCTAATTTTCAAAAAAGTCAATTTTGTTATAATAATATTGATAATTTGCATTATTTTGTTGAAGTTAATATAGAGTATGGATGTAATCAAGAATTCTGCCAAAACAAAAGGTTTTAATCAAACCACGAACTGAATGTATATGTATGCTATAGGGTGGAAATTTTTTAAGAAAAACATTTTAAGCATGATTTATTTACGGCTTTGAAGAATATGATTACTAAATTTGGTGATTCTTCTACTTTTTTAAATGATATTTCCAAGATCCTTTATACAGACAGACATGGTAATATATACTCCTCGTACCACACTGATCACGAATTAATACTTCGTAGGATCTTCAACTCAACTTCTTTTACCCTATGAATCTTTGGGTATAGGGTATAAAACCCAGCTACATTTAGTGACTAGGAACTATGACAAATGATTATCAATAATGTATATTTGATATATTGTCAGCTTATTATGCTCAGAGAAATCAAGACAATTGCCGTTAAGATAGTTCCTTAAGATAGTTTAAGTTGAATATTATGTAACTGCACGATGTTTTCCTTGCTAACATACACATGTACCTACTATATATGTATACATATTCCAGCAGTTAGAACTAATACCAATGTTTCATAAAAGAAGTTTCGTATGGAACATAAGAAAATTAAGACGATGAAGGAATACTAATCTTAAGTTACACAATTTGTAACTGTATCTCTTCGTACTTCTTCTTTAACCATAGGTCACACTGAGACTGATGAATCAGGGCCTGCATTTTTGGCACAACTAAGCAATATTACTGTGTCTCAAGGTCGAGACATATCCTTTACATGCGTGGTGGATAACTTAGGACAATATCGGGTATATTTTTATAATACAATTTTGTATCCAAAAATCACTGCAGCATTTTTTTCTCTTGTATGATTTTATTGTTGCGACATCATTGCGGTTAGTAAAATATAACTATAAAAATAAATTAATGTTTATGCTCTGTGCCTGAAAGGTACAAAAGTATATTAGGCTTACTCAAAGTTAAAAATCTAACAGACACAAGAAGTCATGGCAGTCAATACAAAGTATGTAATTACATTATTGATGAGCATAACAAGACGAGACGACTATCCCTACCTGTCGTTTGTTCGTCAGTCCTCACCCTATATACGAGTAAATATGAGGTACAAATGTATTTCACAACTTCCTTCCTCCACTTCCATCCACTCCCACGGTATTACTGATTTTCAATAGCTCCCGCAATTCTTGGACCTTTCCAATCGAATTTGGCAGTCACATTAAGTTAGTGCTTATGTGTCCGTATGCCAAGTTTCATAATAATAGGTCAATTATGCAGATTTCAAAATTCCAAGAATTACGGGAGTAATGGTGAAACATGAATTGTGGTGAAGTGTGGGGGGGGGGGGGGGGGGTATCAGAATAAAAAAAAAACAAACTTGGCCTGTCTAGGACTTATGTACCTTCTGAGATCCTTGCGCTCGTCCAGGCGGACGGACAGACGGTCAGGTGGATGGCTATATGGACTCCGCTTGTCAACTTGATCAATAATACAAGATGTGTTCCAAAGTAAACAGGACTTTAAAAAAAAAAAAACAGAACAAATGGTTTTTTAGGCAAAATCAATTTGCTTCAAGACAGCTTTTTGCGTGATCCAAAAGCATGTCGAACGAGTGTTTTAGCTCGTTGGCCGGTATGGCCACCAGTATGCCGGTGCAAGCCTTTCGAATGGCCTCTACGTCTGCATAACGCTTTCCTTTCATGGGCAAATGCATTTTTCCGAAAAGGTAGAAGTCGCACGTTGCCATATCAGGTGAATACGGCGCTAGATTCAAAAAGTCCTGTTTACTTCCGAACGCACCTTGTATATATACACTCGCCCAAAACTAATATACCCTTTCACCCTTTGGGTACAGGGTATAAATATAAAATATTTAATATAATATATATTTATATATAGTGATTAATTATATTAATTAATAATTAATATTAGCCCGCGAGCATTTGCGTGAACGCCAACTAATTGTTGAAAAAATACAACACAAATATTTAAGAAGCGCATCTGATCCCACAAAAGAATGTTGCTTACTAGATCTAGACATGTACGTCCGTCTGTCCGTCCGTCTGGATGAACGCAAGGATCTCAGAAACTACAAAAGCTAGAATAACCAAAGTTGGCATCCAGATTCTCCTAGGTCCGAGTAAGGACGAGTTTATTTTATTTTTTCGAAGTTTCCCCCCCTTCCCCTGGTACAGAATTTCGTCAATAACGTCCACATTTCAAATGCTAACTAAATCAAACTTTGCACACATAATTTATATATAATTGTTGCTCAAAATTTTATTCAATTCGGTCAATTCTAAAAAAATTTATTAGCGAAACAAATTCTCTCCAGTGCAACCCCCCAAACTGCAGCAACAAGTTCACTCTTCTTCTTCCTCTTTTTACTGCTGCTATGGGCGCATATAACTCAGTGACGAAAGTTTACCTGGGTACAGGGTATTACACTGTCGGGCTTTCTCGACTGTAGCGTTCTCTCTTGTTTATAACATCATTTCGATTTTTTCGCAATTACGGGGTGTACTTCCATAAATTTGACGAAAATTGCCGGAGCAGTCTATGGCTATCCTGCCAAGTTAAATTCTGCGCAAGTCTATTTGGATGGTTCCGAAGCTTAAGCTGGTACTTTGCTTTCACCTTAGCGATTTCATCTTTAACAGATCCAACATTTAAGTCTTTCCGGATATTTTCACTCCGTACCCACCTGGGTGCCCCAGTGATGGTTCTCAGTATCTTCGATTGAGATCTCTCGATTAACTCGAAATTACTAATGGAAGCCTTTCCCCATAGTTCAGAGCCATATGTCCAAGTTGGTTTGAGAACTGCATTGTACAAGACTACTTTGTACTCCAGTTTTAGTTGTGAACGGACGTTTATAAGCCCATGTAGATTAATAGCTTTTAGTTTCAGTTGATCTATCTTCGCTTCGATGTGTTTGCGCCAAGTAAGTATATGATATACAGTGTCGATCCAAGCACGCTTCCTTGGGGTAGACCAGTTTCAATTGGATGGTATTCGGGAATGAAATCTTTGCATCTAACTGCGAAACTTCTTTGCTGTAGGTATGACTCCAGTATTTTTTGGATGTTCTGTGGAAGTAATATTTTGATTTTGTGAACTAAGCCATCCAGCCAAACGCGGTTGAAGGCTTGCACGACATCCAAAAAAACAGCGGAACAATACTTTCGTTTTTCAAATGCATTTCGTATATCAGAGGTCATTTTTTCGCGAAAACCAAATTGGTGATTTGGGATTGCACTGTAGGTGCTGCTTGATACGATTCAGGCACGGCAGGAGACTGATAGGTCTATATGAAGATGTTTGAGACTTGACCCCTCCGGCTTTATGGATCATTGTGATGACAGATTTTCTCCATTGCACATTGGTCCAGACTGCCAATTTTTTGGCATAAATTCGGAACATGAAGTTAGAGTTAGAAGTTAGAAATTTGGTACAGGTGCTTGTAATGACATGCATAAGAACTGTGTTTAATTTCGGACCGATCGGACCACACCCACTCCTACCGCCCATATAAGACACAGATATTGTCATTTGTTTTTCAACTAATGTGTGTTCGTGTATAAGTATTTTACCACAAAATATTTCCAAAATCATCTAGAAGTTGTAGAGGTATTATAGTGATTATGAATAAGGATTTCTGTGCACTTTCAACCTCTCCTACAAAATAGAAGTGCACGAAAAGTCGCAAAAAGTCGAAAAAAGAATATTTAACATAAGTTAATATAAATATTCAACTTTAATTTGGCATTATTACTTTTTCGCACAAAGCCTTGCAGATCGAACAGCTGAATTTAAAGTATTATCTATATTCCAGTATTGCATAAAAATCAAAAATATTTATGTTTTTGTTATACTTGTAGTTAGGGTATGCGTTTTAAGAAAGTAATATCAAAATAAGAATTTTTTCCATGACAGTTTTGATTTTATGCCAAAAAATTGGTCGTCTGGCATAATGTGCATTATTGAGGACAATAGCCCCATCTCACCATGCTGTTGACAATTATGGTGAGAAAAAATAATGCACAGCTCTGCAATTCAATGATAATTTTGGGGGGAAATTAAATCGTGGCCCGGGGCTTTTAATAGCCTGTACCCAAAGGGTGAAAGGCTATACTAGTTTTGTGCGAATGTATGTAACACACAGAAGGAGGCGTAGCAGACCCCACAAAGTATATATATTCTTGATCAGGATGAGAAGACGAGTCGATAATGTCATGTCCGTCTGTCCGTCCGTCCGTCCCCAATGTGTGTGTTTGGCATTGTAGTCACCAGCTGCTATGAAGCGGTCACCTAGTAGGTCGAAGAAATGTACAAATTATCAGAAACGGAGAAGCGCGGTGGGCAGTATACTGCGGCTAGGCTTAAATAGCCGCTTTGTGTTTTGATATGGATTGTTGTGGCCTGTAGATAAGTTGTAGCAAATGATGGTAACGGATAGTGCCTGATGCGACGCTTTATCAGGATGCTAGTACCTCCATGAGCCTTACCATTGCTACTACTGTATTTGCTAGAGTTGCCCGAATTGATTCAATCCCACTAGACAATTGGGATGGATTTTAAATCGTATGTTGGGTAGTAGTTTCTGGCCATGCAATGTCTGACGATTCATTATACCTGCAGTGGTTTGTTGACTTATGTGACTTTTTAACTCTTTGTATACAGGACAGCCTCTATAGTTGGCAGTGTAGTTTCCCCCAGAGTTGCTGCATTTTTTAGCAGAGGCGTCCTCTTTATCTGCAGGGCAGGCCTCATTGATATGTACATCCCCGCAGGCAACACAGACTGCGCGTAGGGTACAGTAGGTTCTTGTGTGTCCATATTCCTGGCAGTTTGTACATTGGACAGGTCCATTTCGTTTGTGCGGTTCCTTAACGGTTATTTTACGGTGCAGTAGATATTGCAGCTTGTAAATTGGGTGAACTTCGTTTTTATTATAGGCATACAGTCAGGTGTCAGTTCTACCAAGAACATTGGTTGGGAAATTTTATTTCTATTTATTATGTTCATTGCCAGTTTGACTTCAAAGCTCTTATCTTTAAGTCCATCTTTTATCTCGCTGACTGGAACTGTTGGCTCGATTCCTTTGATAATCACTTGTAATCCCTTACTACATTTAAGTTGGTAGGTGTAGTAGTTTATCTTTTCACCGTTGAGTTATTTGACCAGTGATCGATAGGTATTTTCATCATTGACTTGTATTTTAGTTTCATTTAAGCTACCCCTTTTTATAGACGTAACATAGAATTTAATTTCGCCAATTTTTTTTTTTTAACCAATTCTGTACAATTTGCCTGCCACACATAAATAGGTGGCGACTTTAGTTGCTTAGCTGTTTCGGCGTTATCTTCTTCAGGTAAACTGAGAATCGCGAATCTATTGTTTTTCAGCGCCTCAGTTGGCACAGTGATTTTTTTAGCTGTCTTGGGTTTTTTGGGTGCGTTGTTTCTCTTAGTCGCTTGTGGGCTTAGTTTTCGTTTAATTTGCACATAGCGATTGAGCCCAGTCTATATTAACGTTCCGTTAGCGCTTTGCGTACTTTGGGAGAAGCTGGGAGAGGGGGAGGTCGCAGTGAGTTGACAATACCGGGCACTGGGCACCGCATGACCCACTTTGCAATGTGCTGGGTGATCATATTACCGCAGGGGAGAGGGAGCGTTCTCTCTCCGAATTAGCTTGCAGTAATGCAGTTGTTGCTGGTACCGTTACATCGGGTGCGCGTATAGAAATGTAAGCGTTGTCACAAAATGACGAAAGTCGACGTCTTGTTATT